CACAAGAAAAGCCACAGAATCAACTAACCTGGGCTCATAGGGGCTCACAGAGAATGAATTAATAATCGGGGAGCCTGTGCAAGTCTGAGCTAGGTCCTCTGCATATATGTCATGTTTGTGTAGCTTGGTGTTCGTGTGGGATTCTTAACTGTGGGAGTGGGGGGTCTGTCTTTGAGTCATTTGCTGGCTTTTGAGGACCATTTTCTTCATACTAAGCTGCTTCATCAGGCCTTCAAATTGTTATGCCCTGTTTAGTTGATATCCATCGGAGGCCTGCCCTTTTCTGAATAGAAATGGTGGTTAGGGAAGAGATAAGGGGGTGGCTGAGAAGAGAGGAAGGAGGAGCAATACCGGTGGGGTTGTAATGAGATTGATGACTAACTTATTCACCATCATAGAGTCCTCATCTAGTAGCTGATGGAAACAGAAGCAGACACCCACAGCTAAACACTGAGCAGAACTGGAATCCAGATGCAAAGAAGGAGGACAAGACCAAGCTACAATAACCCACAGAGACAGCTGACCTGAACAAGGAGGAATCAATAGGCCCCCAGACTGATAGCTGGGAAACCAGCATTGGACTGACTCAGACACCCTGAACATAGGTCTCAGTAAGAAGACCTCTGCAATCTAAATGACCTCAGACATTGGAACCAGGATGTATTCCTGGTGCAGAAAAGGGCTTTGGGAGCACATTCCCCATGGAGGGATACTCTCTTAACCTAGAGGCAGGAGGGAGGGCCTAGTCCCTACTCCAAATAACTTGACAGATTTTGTTAACCCCTCAAGGAAGGCACCACCCTCCCTGTGGAGTGGTGGGGGGGGGGTGGAATGGGAGAGTGGTCGGGGGTTATGGGAGGAAGAGAGGGAGAGAGAGGGAACTAGGATCGATATGTAAAATAAGAAAAAATTAATTAATTAAAAATGAAAATGTCTATTTTTAAAAAAAGTTTTAAAGAAAAAGAAAGATTGAAAGAAATTCCCCCAGTAATTAAGAACTTAGACATGAAAATAACAATATTAGCAACAGCAAGAAAACCAATCATTCATTTTCTGTATAATACACTTATTAGAAGATACTCAGCTTCCTATTTCAGTTATATTGAAAATGTGTCTTCCTACAAGTGACAACCCCAACCACTAAATATTTGTAACGAGTACGGTTTTTCCGCCCGCCGCCGGTATTGTCCTGCCGCCGCACCAGCTCCAAATAATACACAGAGACTCTGTATTTGGTACAATACTGTTGGCCCGGTTACTTGTTTCTTATTGGCTAGCTCTGCCTTTAATTATTAACCCATTTCTGCTGATCTATGTATTTTCACATGGCCTTCTCTTACCGGGAGGCGGCTGGCGTCCAGCTCTCTCCAGACTCTCCATCTTGACTCCTCCTTCCTACTTCCTATTTCCTCCTTGTCTCCTAGTCCCTCCTATCTTCCTTTCCTATTGGCCAACAGTGCTTTATTATTAACCAGTATGAGAAACATATACAGAATGACATCTCCCATCAGTGTTATATTTGCCTTATGTTTTATATGTTTGATTACCATTAGTGTATGATTGACAGTGATAAAACATTATTAAGAATGGCTCTTGGGTAAAGCAAAGGGCTAATCTTTACCATCATAAATTGTTAGATTTTTGGGCCAGCTAAATGGCTCACTGGGTAAAAGTGTTTGCTATGAATCCAGATGACCTGAGTTTGATAACAGAACCCAACTAACTCTGGAGGGAAGGTACTCCACAAAGCTGTCCGCGCCTTCACACCTACACTGTGGTGTGTACACCAACATTCTCTGGCAACAATAATGAATGAATAAATCTCTAGAAAAAATCTGTATACATTTGATATATCTTTACTGACTTTTGAAAGTTTTTGATATGCATTAAAAGGGGCTATACTGACATTTAATATTTATATTTCTGTAGATATGTATACCTAACAGAAAATTTATCAATTAAGTATAACATCATTTATTATTTATACCTCAAAAATATCTGACTTCCAAAGAATGGTAAATGGTGTCATCATTATTTCAGACTTGTAAAAGATAACTACAGAGTTTAAGCCTGTGTTGTGTCAACACGAACACACACACACATACACACACAGTCAAACATACACATGAATGAATGAATGATAAAGGAATACAGAGGCCATTTTAAAAATAGAGCTATTAATGATGTAGCTATAACATCTTTGGATATTATCCTCAAGACATACCTGTGTGCAAATTACACCTTCACAAGAGTCAAGATGTGCAAAAATAAAAATAAAAAACTTTAATTTTCACAGAGGACTTAGTGGATGAATAAAATGTGTCACATATATTGACTCAGGCCCCCCTGATAATGGGTCTCAGCCAGAAGGCCTGAGCAGTCTAAGGGACCTCAGACAGTGGAACCAGGATGTATCCCTGGTGCACAAAAGGACCTTGCAAACACATCCTCCATGGAGGGATACAGGAGAGAAGTCCTAGTCCCTACTTCAAATGACCTGACAGATCTACATGACCCCACCTGGATGGCCTTGCCCTACATGTGGAATTGGGGTGTGGGGATAGGAGGGGAGGGTGGTCAGGGTGCATGTGAGGGGGCAGAGAGGGCAAAAAGGGACGGAGGGAGGAAGGGAGGGAAGGAGGGAGGGAGGTAAGGAGGGAGGGAGGAAGAGGGAACTGGGATCAACATGTAAAATAATAAATTAAATAAAAACAAAAAATAAAAGAAAACATCTTACCATGCTATAAGTTTCTCAAGCAGTTTGTATCTGTGTAAAGTTCTCTGGCATCATCTGTAACAAACTTATTCTTTCATCAATTTGAACTCCTTTTAATAATAGGTTTCTTAATAAAGAATAACAATATTTCCCATTTTGATTTTCAGTAATGTGTTCTTACATATAACTTCAGAGTAAACCTTCCCAGTAATTCAGATTATATGTCTACAAAAACTCAGATTTATTTCTTCAAAAATTTTATTTACTTACCTACATTCTGTAAGTTACTTTTTTTTTTTTTGAAAACTTAGTTATACAAAGTTTTCTAGCCAGGCTATTGGTATATAGATATAAATGTGGTGAGTTTATTTGGAGACTGTAAGAATAAAATAGGTTGAATTCCCACAAAACACATTTTTGGTCATGTTATGCTAATATTGTCATAGGTAGATGTAATAATTATCACATTCTCAAATATTTTAAATAAATAATAAAAGAGCCCACCTGTGCTCAGAAGTTTTAAGAACCCTAAAGTATTTTGAAGAAAATTGAAATTTTACTATATGTCTTAGACTCCATTTATCATCAGCATCACAATATTCCCTATAGATATTAGGACTCTTTATGAACTTTGTTATTTTGATATTAAAATTAATGATGAAAACAGTCAATTAGTGTACTTTCCAGAAGGTCCCCAAGGTTTTACATCAGGTCTGAGTAAACACATCCTTCATTATTAAACAATGAAGACAAAGTCATGTTTATTGGAGATGGAATGAGGCAATGACTACAATTCTTCAATTACAACAAGAAAGAGAAGCACACTACTGTTTGGGAAGACATTAATTATTTCATTGGCAGAGAACACAGAACAATGGATTTAAGGATGTCATATCATGTATTCTGATTAAAGAGTAAGAATTATTATTTCTTAAATGAGCTGGATTTTAATCTGAACAAGTTCTCCATTGAAACTGATGAGGCAAAGAAAAAAGTATGGGTTAGGAAAAAATAATCATTTTGGAAGAATTATTCATATTGAATTTTTAGATAAAAATAAAGGTCCACAATATGCCTACAAACAAAACCTCTGTTGAACTCAACGAATGTAAGTGTTTTCAGTGTTTGTCATGCTTACATACAAAAAATGTATCGTGAACAGCTTTGTCTTAAACCTAAATCCAGTATTAGAGAAATACAGACATCCTTGTAACTCATAGCTAAGCTTTCTCTATTTCTATCTGAAAGCTGGTTATTGTTTATTATGAGAGCTTTACAGATAGAAACTCACATTGCCTTTTAAACTTAAACTTTGCTTTAAATTTAAAAATTAGGGAATATAATAGTTAATTTTGGAAGCAATACTGAATGTAAATTATTTCTTACACAAACAAAGCTACTCAAGTTGAACTGGAAAATAACTGAGAAGACATGTTTTAAATTTAATGTCAAAGGCTTATTTGCTGATTCAAATATGTTTACATCTAAACCTCATAAAGTTGTTTTCCAGCCAACCAAGTTCCATTTGGTGGCACCAAGGAACTCTGACATTAACTGAATTTTACTCCAGGGCAGGCCTCATGTCCAAGAGTAATTGGCCAACACAAAACAAACTTCATGGCTTTTTTGAGAACTTTTTGTTTTTTGTTATAGTTTTTTCTTGCTTGTTTGTTTGTTTGTTTTGTTTTTATTTTGTACAGAGTTTTGCTTTTGTTTTGTTTATTTTTCAGCAGGGGTGGAGAGAGAAAGACAGAGAAAATGAGCACAAAGTTGGGTGGGTAGGGAAATGGAGAGGATCTGGGGGAACTGGAAGAGGAAAACATGACCAAAATGCATTAAAATAATGTTAGTAGTAATAATAATATACAGAAAATGCTTAGCTTATGGAGACAATGAAGGTTATTTAAATAAAATGTTTATTTCTCAAACTAGCCTAAAATATTACTTGGGAATCAGTAGGAATAGGAATTATATTATCAAACTGTAGGGGGACATGGGAAATGGGGAAAATACTTATCATTAAAAATAATACAGGATTTTTGTTCAAGTATATAAAAAAGCTGAAGAGAATCAGAAATGAGTATCTGGGAAATGGGATCAAGTAAGGGTTGTTATGCTTCTAGTTCTAATCAATGAGTAAATGTGAGAACATAGACAGGGGGAGCTGCATTTCCATTGCCTTGCTGGTTTCTTCATGTCATCTTAAAATCTTTTCAGGACAGAGTGTATCAATTCACATCTATTACTTTTGTCTAGACTGGAAGAATTTAGAAGACTTTTAGACATGAGAAACCACACATTGGTGACAACATTTATACTTCTAGGATTGACAGAAGACCCAAAGTGGCAAATTGTAATCTTCCCTTTCCTCTTGATAGCATATCTGCTGAGCATCATTGGAAACCTTATTATTATCCTCCTGACCCTGCTGAATTCCCACCTCAAAACACCTATGTATTTCTTCCTTCAGAAGTTTTCCTTTTTAGAAATCTTGCTGACATCTACCTGCATCCCTAGATTCCTGGTCAGCATAGTGACCATGGATAAAACTATTTCCATTGAGGCTTGTTTCACACAATTATTTGCTGCCTTCGTCTTTGGAATAGCACAGTTTTTCTTGCTGGCTGTCATGTCCTATGATCGCTACGTGGCCATTTGTAAACCCCTTCATTATACAACCATCATGAACACCAGAGTCTGTACTTTGCTATTTGGTACCTGCTGTTTAATTGCTTTGATGGCAATCTTCCCTGGGGTCATTGTAAGTCTGGAAATTGAATTTTGTGACAATGTTATTGAACACTTTTTCTGCGACTACTCTCCCATCTTGAAGCTTTCCTGCAATGATACAAGGTTCATGCAACTGATAAATTTCATTTTTGCCATCGTTATTCTACTGATTACCTTGGCTCTAGTACTGTGCTCTTATGGAAAAATCATAAGCACAATTCTGAGGTTCCCTTCCGCCCAGCAGAAAAAGAAAGCTTTCTCTACCTGTTCCTCCCACATGATTGTCATCTCCATCTCTTATGGCAGCTGCATTTTTATGTATATCAAACCCTCTGCAGAAGAAAGGATAGCTCTAAACAAGGGGATTGCCATACTTACTATTTCCATTGCACCAGTACTAAATCCTTTCATCTATACCTTAAGAAATCAGCAAGTCAAAGAAGCCCTGAAGGATGTCATTAAAAAATGTACCTCAGCTGCAACCAAGATGCCCCTCAACTGAAGAATGGATAAAAAAGATGTGGCACATTTACACAATGGAATACTACTTTGTGGAAAAAAACAATGGAATCTTGAAATTCAGAGGCAAATGGATGGAACTTGAAGAAACCATCCTGAATGAGGTAACTCAGTCACAAAAAAGAGGTACATGGTATATACTCGCTCATATATTGATTTTAGACATAGAGCAAAGGGCCACCAGCCTATAATTCACACTGCCAAAGAAACTAGCATGCAAGGAGGATTCTAAGAGATTCATACAAGGTTCCTCATAGAAGGGGAAAGTAACAAGATCTCCTGAACATATTGGGAGGGGGGCAGTGAGTAGAGAGGTGGCTAGGAGAAAGAGAAGAGTAGGAGAGGAAAGCATGTAGGACTGGGAAGACTGAGTCACTGGAGGGATAGACCAGAGAGAGAGAGAGAGAGAGAGAGAGAGGGAGGGAGGGAGGGAGGGAGGGAGGGAGGGAGGGAGGGAGGGAGGGAGGGAGCGATAGAGAGAGAGAGTCAAACAGGGAGTCATTATACGTTTCAAGAGGAAACTTACTCTAGAGAAATGTCCAGAGACCTATTAGACTGACCTCAACTAACAATTTGAGCAACAGTGGAAAGGCTACCTTAAATGCCCTTCCCCTGATAATGAAATTGATGACTAACTTATCCACCATCATAGAGCCCTCATCTAGTAGCTGATGGAAACAGAAGCAGACACTCACAGCTAAACACTGAGCCAAACTAGAATCCAGATGCATAGAGGGAGGACAAGACCAGGCTACTGAAACTCACAGAGACAGCTGACCTGAAAAGGAAGAGTTAATGGGACCCAGACTGATAGCTGGGAAACCAGTATTGGACTGACTCAGACCCCCTGAACAAGGGTCTCAGTTAGAAGGCCTGGACAGTCTCAGGAACCTCTGATAAGGGAACCAGGATGTATTCCTGGTGAATGAAAGGACTTTGGAAGCACATCCTCCATGGAAAGATACTCCCTTAACCTAGAGGAAGGAGGGAGGGCCTAGTCCCTACTCTAAATGAATGGACAGATTCAGTTGACCCCTCCAGGAAGGTACCACACTCCCTGTGGGGTAGGGGTTGGAATGGCAGGGGAGGATGGTAGTGGGGGGGATGGGTGGAAGGGAGAGACTGAGGGAGGGAAGGAGAGAGAGGGAACTGGGATTGATATGTAAAATAAGATAGATCAATAAATGAACAAAACAAAACCACACTCAGAGAGAAGCAGAGTCCAAATTCTGTTGGCAACCAATAGGCCTGCCCAGAAGAGGAAGTAATAAAGTCAGTGTCACTCTATGAAGAAAACTGACTTTTCCTGTCAGTGGTTGTTTGAAAGAAAATGGTTCTCAAAGGGAGTGTTTGCCAAATTCCAGGTTCATAGTCCATTCCCTGTGCTTGCCAGCCTCACTTGGATTCAGTACCTATGTTTTTATATATAAAATGAAAAATGTACAATATATGTAGTATAATAATGCATCTGTATCTACCTAAATATAAGTATGAAACAGATTATGTCATGAGACTGATATACACAACAAGATAAATATGTCTTTAGAAAGTTCTATGCACTGTTTTATGTTTTCAGATCTGTTTTGAACACTGTTCTTTGAATGACAAAAAAAAAAAAAAAAAAAGACATTGGTTAAACTGACTTAAAAAACAAAAGCATAAACTTTTCTCACCCCAGTGTAGTATCCTTTTCAATACCTACAGTGAAGGTGGGTGGGTGGGAGGGTGAGTACAGATATATATGTATATATATAGTTAATGATTATTTTAAAATCTACAAATGAGGTTTTTATGGATACACATTAAGTTCAAACACAAATTTTAAATGTTTTATAATGAATTACAGTTTAACATTTAGTTACTGAATTTTTTAAACTCAAGAAAACTAATTTTATTTCAATTATCCCAATATTTTGAAAATAAATAAAATATAAACTATAAAAGTTTGTGTTAGCATATTTATGTTTTCTGATTTTTTTAGGATAATAGTGTCTTATAGCAATTTGTGGAATTGTTTTATATCTAAAATTCTAAACAAGTTATAGTAATTTTCACAATTGCAGAAGTCTTACGGTGTGAGACACAGAAATTTTTAACTGGGTTGTGTACAACCACAATTTATGCAAAGAATTTCCTATTTCTTTGATTTAAAACAACTGTACTCTTTTATAGTATAAATCTATTCAGAAAAAAAATTAAAGTGCTAGTTTTATGGGATAGAGATTTGGTGTTCTGTTAGAATAATAATTTTTCTTAATTTTCTCAGTTTTTTGACTACTTAGAAACCTAAACCCTAACATCAGGACTAATCCAAATATCTATTCTGGTAAAATGAGTTCTTTATATCACTGGTTAAATAGAACTATCACACATTTGAGATACACATTCACATCAAAAAAATTAGTCTATCTATGGTTGTTAATACTGTCTTCTAAACTTGTTTTTTTTATGATTATATTTTTTATTTAAATTTGAAACAAGTTTGTTTTACAAGTCCATACCAGTTCCTCCACCTTCCCCTCCTTCCCTGTATCTTTCCCAATCCCCATCCCATCCCCTTTCTGCTCCCTAGGGAGGATGAGACCTTCCATGGGAGGATCTTCAATTTCTGCCATATCATTTGGAGCAGGGCCTAGGCCCTCCCCCATGCCTCTAGGCTGAAAGAGAATCCCTGTATGTGGAATAGACTCCCAAAGTCCATTCATATACTAGGGAGAAATACTGATCCACTACTAAAGGCGCCAAAACTTGTACCAAGTCTAAAACTTTAGATTTCTATATCCTACATTTTGTTTCATAAGTAAAAGCCAATTTAGATCCCAAACAATGAGAAGTTTTAGGAAATTCCATAATGGGAATTTAAAAAATGGTGTAATCTCCTTGCTCAAAAAGTAACTCCTTTCAAGGAAAGACTTCCCAGAGTTCTGGTGGCCTAGCACAAAAACAGATTTTATTCCTCAGATTTTGCAACATTGTAACATTTTTGCAGATGAAACATAGATAAATTGAGTATAATTTTCTTCCCAGTTCAAGCCCAAAGTGCAAACAAATCCATTTCCTTTCACTAATAATTACTGTCCAGCCTCTCAGTAAAGCATCAGGCAATATACTTACAGCTCAAGTTAGTGGGTAAGAAAATTACAATAAAACAAAAAAGAATATTAGAAAATACATTTGAGTGCAGAAGGTCTTTTGCAAGAGTTTTTTAAGATCTCCAGGCCTCTGCTGGATGGGAACTTCCTGGAGCTACTCTGAGCATAGTAGACCTACTTATTCATGCATGACTACCCTGAATCCCCACCTGCCTGATCTTAGACCCCCACTGCAGGTCCTCTGCCAGTGTCCCAGGCCCCTCAGAGAGATCTGCATATCCCCCACTGAACCATCCTGAGACCCTGCCTGCTGAGTCTTTGACCCCCCTTCACTGGACCACTCCTGGAGCCTGATCTTTGACCCCCATCGCCCGGCCCCTGCCTGAGGAGAGACCACCTAGAGAGCTTGAACCATCCAGACCTACAGACATTGAACTTCTGACCCACCTAAGCATACCGGGGAGTACTGTAGAAAATGAGAGAGACCCTAACTGCACCCACTGGAAGAAGCAAAGAAAAGATGGCAATACAAGAAAACACCTAACAATAGAAAGACAAGAAAGACACCACCAGAATCTAAAGACTCTACACCAACTAGACCTGACCACTCCAAAGCAGAAGAAGCACAAGAGAACAACTTTAAAAATATATTAAAAATGGTATGTGCCTTCAAATATGATGTGAGAAACCCCCTTAAAGAAATGGAAGGAAAAAAAAAAAAACAAAAAATTGGAAGAAATGGAAAAACCTCTTAAAGAAAGTAAGGAAAGCCAAGAAAAACAATTAAACAGGCGAAGGAAACACTTCAAGATTTGAAAACTGAAATAGAGACAATAAAGAAAACACAAACTGTAGGAATGCTAGAAATAGACACACTGAGCAAACGATCAGGAACTACAGATGCAAATATAACCAAGAGATTACAAGAGATCAAAGAGAGGATCTCAGGGGCTGAAGATAAACTAGAAGAAATAGATTCATCGACCAAAGAAAGTCTTAAATCCAACAAATTCTTACACAAAACATCCAGGAAATGTGGGACAGCATGAAAAGACCAAACTTAAGAATAATAGGCATAGAGAGGAAGGCAAAGAAGCCCAGCTCAAGGGTGAAGAAAACATATTCAACAAAATCATTGCAAGAAGTCTACCAAACACCAAATAGACTGGACCAAAGAAAAAAGACCCCTAGACACATAATAATTAAAACACCTAAAATACAGAATAAAGAGAATATTAAGAGCAATGAATGAAAAAGGACAGGTAACATATAAAGGCAGACCTATCAAAATAACACCTGACTTCTCCATGGAAACTCTCAGGTCAGAAGGTCATGAATAGATGTCCTACAAGTACTAAGAATCAGCCCTGGGATGTCAGCCCAGGCTACTGTACCCAGCAAAACTCTCAATCACTACAGATGGAGAAAACAAGACATTTAATGACAAAGCCAGATTTTCACAATACATATCTACAAATCCAGCCCTACAGAAAGTTCTGGAAGGAAAACTCCAACCCAAGGAAGATAACTATGCTCACAAAGACATAAGCAATAGATAATCACACTTCACCAGAACCCAAGGGTAAAACAGGCCAAATATATTCACAATACCAGTGCCAACAACAAATCTAAAACAAACAAGCATTAACAATCAACTGTCCTTAGTTTCCCTCAACATTAATGGCTTTAACTCACTTATAAAAAGACACAGGCTAACAGAATAGATACGAAGACAGAATCCATCTTTCTGCTGCATACAAGAAACACATCTAAGATTCAAAGACAGACAATACCTCAGGGTAAAGGTTTGGAAAAGATCTTCCAATCAAATGGAACCAAGAAGCAAGCAGGTATGGCTATCCTAATATCTAACAAGTTAGACTTCAAACCA